CTACTGTATATGCTTTTGATGAAATTTAATAGGATTTGTCCTTTCATAGCTTCAAGAAAAAAGTTGATAGTCTTGAGTGCTATCTTGTGTGGGCAGAATAAAAAAGTTAATTGAGTGGAGGGTTTTTAGAGGGCCCCTGACAAATGATACATTTAGGAGAAGAATATCAGGGTCACGAAGACTTTGGAGAAACATTATTTGAGGAATGAACAAAGTACTTGAGCATGTTGGGTCTGAAAGAAACCCACAGTAAAACTAGATTGGTTGTGAAGAACTGTACGGGGGTGGTATTGAAAAAAGATTTTTCTTTCTGGCACGGGGTGGGGGTGTTGGGGAGAGTGTGTTTTTGTTTCTGGGCCGTACTCCCGGTACTCAGGGCTACTCCTGGGTTTGTGCTAGGGAGTCACTTCCAGCTGTGCTGTGGAGGTCAGGTGCTGCTGGGAGCGGCAGACAGAGCAGACACTCACCATGAGGAGCCCCCTCTCCGCCTGGTGCCACGCTCCTCTGACAGGTCTAATTGTGGAAATATTAGGGAGTTGTCTGTGTGTGTGTGTGTGTGTGTGTGTGTGTTTGGGGGGGAGGGTCACACCCGGCGATGCACAGGGGTTACTCCTGGCTCATGCACTCACGAATTACTCCTGGCGTTGCTTGGGGGACCATATGGGATGCTGGGAATCGAACCCAGGTTGGCCATGTGCAAGGCAAACACCCCACCTGCTGTGCTATCGATCCAGCCCCCAGGGAGTTGTTTTAAAATAAGGAAAAACTTTCTGAGAGAGAGAGAGATTCTAGAGAGCTGTGTAAAGTAATGAAGTAATGAGTTCTTCACTAAGGTCGCAGTCAAAGAGTCCCCAACTTTTTATTGAATCACTGTTGAGATAACCCCATCCCATCACCAGTGTCCTATCAGCAGCACACATTTTTTGTCACAGATATCCCCAGTTTCCCTCTCACCACCCCCCTCTTCCCCCTTCACATTGTGGTTTGTTACTGAAATGGTATTTTTAAAATTTTATTATTATTATTGTTATTATTATTATTATTATTTATTTTGGGGGTCACACCCAGCAATGCTCAGGGGTTACTCCTGGCTCTGCACTCAGGAATTACTCCTGGCAGTGCTTGGGGGACCATATGGGATGCTGGAAATTGAACCCGGGTTGGCTGCTTGCCAGGCAAACGCCCTACTCGCTGTGCTATTGCTCTGGCCCCAGAAAGGGTATTTTTAAGTATATATCTGGGCTGGAACGATAGCACGGTGGGTAGGGTGTTTGCCTTGCCCGCGGCCAACCTGGGTTCAATTCTTCTGTCCCTCTCGGAGAGCCTGGCAAGCTACTGAGAGTATCCCACCCGCATGGCAGAGCCTGGCAAGCTCCCCGTGCCAAAAACAGTAACAAGTCTCACAATGGAGATGTTACTGGTGCTCACTCAAGCAAACCTGTGAATAATGGGAGGACAGTGCTACAGTGCTATCTATATTATCTATACACATATATGTAAAGAAATATTGGAGAAATATTATTTGAGGGGCTGGAGCGATAGCACAGCAGTAGGGCGCTTGCCTTGAAAGCGGCCAGCATGGCTGACCTGAGTTCGATTCCTCCGCCCCTCTCGGAGAGCCTGGCAAGCTACCGAGAGTATCTTCGCCCGCATGGCAGAGTCTGGCAAGCTACCCATGACGCATTCAATATGCCAAACACAGTAACAAGTCTCAAAATGGAGACATTACTGTGCCCGCTCGAGCAAATCGGTGAACAACGGGAGGACAGTGAGAGTGATTATTTGAGGAATGAATAAAGTATTTCAGCACTCAATTCTTGTCCAGAATGGTCATTTCCAACTATCATAGTATCATTGTCACAGTGTGTCACAGTGGTCCCTTCTCTGTACTAGCTGTATCCCAAGAAGTCTTTTTTTTTTCCTCTTTTGGATCACACCCGGGGATTCACAGGGATTACTCCTGGCTCTGCACTCAGGAATTACTCCTGGTGGTGCTGAGGGGACCATATGGGATGCTGGGAATTGAACCTGGGTCAGCGGAGTGCAAGGCAAATGCCCTGTCCACTGTGCTATTGCTCCAGCCCCTGTTGCTTCTCTTTCTAGCTTTAATACATCTGGGTTGGCCGCTTGCAAGGCAGATGTCTTATCCGCAGTATTATTACTCCAGCCCCAAGGTAGGAATTCTGCAGGGTCCAGTGGAACCTATACCAGCCAGCTGTTTGGAGCTTTATTTTTGTTTTTTGGGTCACACCCGGCTATGTTTAGGGCTTATTTCTGGCTCTGCACTCAGGAATCACTCCAGGTGGTACTCGGGGACCATATAGGTTGCCAGAGATCCAACCTGGGTGGGCTGTGTGCAAGGCAAAGGCCCTACTCGCTGTACTATTGCTCCAGCTCCAGGGACCTTTTCAAAAGTGTCTTTAGTTGCTTGGAATAGCTAATAGATGCTTATTTAGTTAAATTTGATTCCATAGCATTTCTTTCCAAGTTAGAATCTCATCATGAATCATGAATAGGTTTCACTTACACCTTCTTTGGGGAGGGAGACTTCTTTTGGGTCACACCCAGCAGTGCTCAGCGTTTACTCCGGGCTCTCCCCTCAGGAATCACTCCTGGCAGGTCTTGGGGGACCCTGTGGGATGCTGAGGGATAGAACCAGGATTGGCCACGTGCAAGGCAAACACCCTACCTACTCATCTAAAACTTTTTATGTAGAATTTTTGTTTAGTGGAAATTTTGAGATACTTTCAATAAAGAGAAAAGAATAAAATGTGTTGTATATTCCTTTATTATAGGAAATCCTTAAGATATATACTGAAAAAAAAATGAGAATCAGGATGTTCTCCATTAAATAAATGATTCCTTTAGTACTAAAGTACTTTTTGACTTGATATTGCCACTTACATTTTTATTTTTGTGTTCTTTTGCTGCACTCAGCTATTGTGCTTACTCCTATGGTGGTGCTCAGGGCTTACTCCTGGCTCTGCACTCAGGGATCATTCCTGGTGTGCTCACACCGTATGGGGTGTTGGGGATTGCACCTGGGTCAGCCATGTTTAAGACAAGTGCCCTGCCCCCTTTTGTTATCTTTCTGCCCCATTAGTTGCTACTTTAATAATCATTTTATATTTATTTTCATTAATAATATTGACATTAATGAGAAAAAATACTGTGCTTGATGTCTTTTTTAAATTGTAATCTTTAGTTTTAACTTTTAATTCCTACAGTGGCCCTGAATACTGTTATTCCCATTTTGCTAGTGAGGTGAATAAAACTGGTTTCTAAAATTCAATTATTATGTGCCTCAAACTAATACAATGTTAGTATCAAGTCAGTTGTTTCTTATTTTATTTTTGGAGCCATTACCCATGATGCTCAGGGGGTTTACTCCTGGCACTGCACTCAGGAATTACTCTTGGTACTCTTGGTAGTGCTTGGGGGGCCATATAGGATGCCAGGGATTGAACCTGGGTCAGCTGTATGCAAAGCAAATGTCCTTCCCACTGTCCTATCCTTTGGGCCCCTATTTCTTAATATTTAAGCAAAACTCAGAGACTCAGACAGACTACATCTTATGCTGACTCTTACATCTTAGACAGGACTAAGAACATTTAAAGCCTTTCTTTAGTCAGATTCTCAGATTCTCGCAGTTCCACGATTTTGGTAGAGAGAGTTTAGGTCTTTCCTATGAATTAACTCATACCTCATACTCCTGAATTTCTCTTAGATGAGAGAATCACTGATCACACACAGTTCCCCTAAGTCCCTAAGTCTTGTGCTCCACATCACATTGCCTGTGTTTTGTTTTTTGGTTTTTTTTTTTTTGTTTGTTTTGTTTTTTGGCTTTTTGGGTCACACCTGCTGATGCTCATGCTCAGGGGTTACTTCTGGCTCTGCACTGAGGAATTACTGCTGGCAGTGCTCAGGGAAACATATGGGATGCTGGGGATCGAACATGGGCCGGCCATGTGCAAGGCAGATGCCATCCCCTCTGTAATATCACTTGGGCCCCTTGCCTGTGGATTTAGTTGGGGTCTCTGCCTCTGTTTCAAGGAGATATGTGGGACTTTTGGAGAGATTCCTGCAGATAAGAAGTTGCTCCTCTTCAATCTGTTCTTTGATTGTCATAAGAGTACAGAGATGGGGATGGGCTAATACGATAGTACAGCAGGTGGGGTGCAGACTTGATCTCTGCACCCCATAAGGTCCTCGAGCCTGCCAGGAGTAAACCCTGAGCAGTGCCAGGTGTGGATCAAAAATAACAACAACAACAACAACAATAACAACAACAAAATAACCCAAAGGGGAATACAGAGACGAGGTGCTATTGCTTGATTTAGATGGCCACAGAACCGACCATGAATTAGCAGACATTGGCATCATTTTGATGGAAATATTTCTCAACTCTAACCTACATTGTATTCACTGTATACTAAACACAGTTTAAATTAGCTCTTCCGGTTGACTCAGTCAGACCTTCTACCACATAGTCACAGTCTTACTCTGTGTGCCATGTTACTAGGTATCTTATTTACTACCATGCATTTTCTCTCTCCCTACCACTAATAGATAATCCCAGGTTATTTTATTCTAAACTGCTGTGGCCTAGGCCATCAAAATAATTAACAGTTACTCAACTAGATTAAGGTAGTAATAAATTTGAGTGAGATTTGAGGGGACCTTTTTTTTTCTTTTGCTTTTTGGGTCACACCTGGCGATACACAGGGGTTACTCCTGGCTCTGCACTCAGGAGTTATTCCTGGCGGTGCTCAGGGGACCATATGGGATGCTGGGAATCGAACCTGGGTCGGCCGCAAGCAAGGCAAATGCCCTACCTGCTATGCTATCTCTCCAGCCCCTTGAGGGGACCTTTTGTGAGCACATATACTGCTCTTTCACATCCAAACTTTAAATTCCATTTAACTTTCACTTAGATGAACGTGTAAGGTAAATGTCACTGTATCTAACATAGGAAGTGTTGTGGTCCTTTCTTTAAACAGAGAAGAAGACACTGAAAATGAAAATGAAAAGAAAATTTGGTATTACAGCACAAAGATCCAGCTTGCGGAATTAATTGACTGTCTAGACAAAGATTACTGGGAATCAGAACTCTGCAAAATTTTGGAAGAGATGCGTGAAGAAATTCATCGGCACATGGACATAACTGAGGACCTGACCAATAAGGCCCGGGGCAGTAACAAATCCTTTCTGGCAGCAGCTAATGGTGAGCAGGAAGTCTTCCCACTTGAGTCTTTGTTAAATCTGAGCTAAACTTGTGAAAGGAAATTACTGCGAAGTTTGAAATCTTTTAGAAATATGCAGTATATATATTTTACTTTCTCTGTTTTATTTTTTTCAAGAAAACTTTGTTCATTCCAACATTATTAGTTAGGGGAGTTGGATATTTTAGTATTCCGTATCTTAACCTTAGTTACTACTAAATTCGGCAGTCATTTTTCATTTTGAGAAATTATATTTCTTATTTTGTGTGGTATTTGTACCATACCCTAAAAAGCAACTGAAGTATGTTTTTATCAAGTGTATTGAATTTATGTTGTGTTGGCGTTGTTTTTCAAAAACAGCAATTGTCCGTGTATGGTATTGCATGCACAGCATCAAAATAGAAATGGGGACTCAAAATGGTTAGGGGCCTTATTTGAGGGAAATAAGAAACCGAGAGTATTCAATATGCCAGACACAGTAACAACAAAGTCTCCAATGGAGACGTTACTGGGCCCGCTCGAGCAAATCGACGATCAACGGGAGGGCCTTTACTTTACTTTACTTACTTACTAAAAAAGTTTAATGTAGAGAAATTGATGAATCTCTTACAGACTGTCATGTGATAAAGCACTGTTTATTGGAGAATTTTATGGGGTATCATATACACAGTGCTTGGGGCATTGAGACAGGATGATGGATTTTTATTATTACTGAAATATATATGGACGGTGACTATAGCTAATAATACTGCACTGTATGCTTGAAAGCTGGCCTTTGAAGTTTGTTTTAGTTTCTGGGCCGTGCCCAGCTGTGCTGGAGTACTCAGGGGTTTGCTCCCGATGGTGCTCAGGGGACCACGTGGTGACAGGGATTGAGCCCAGGCCTCTTACTACAGAAGTATGTGCTCCATCTGTTCTCTCTCTGACACCATCTTGGAACATTTTGTCACCCAAAAGTCATTTTTGTGATTACATGTGGTGATGGTTATTGATTAGACTCTGTGGTAATTTCAGCATATGTAGAAATATGGAATCGTTATATTGTATAACTGAAACTAATATGTCTAAATCATGTCTAAAAGTTTTCAGCATGACTGGGGAGAATAATACAGGGGATAAGACCCTTGCCCTTGAGTACCTCTGTGTGTGTCTCTTCCTCCCCCCCAAAAAAAATAGCACAGTAAGATTATAGGGTTTTTAAAATATATTTTCAAGTTTTCTGTATGCATGCTTTATTTCAGTATAATTAAGCATGCAATATATGTTAAGAAATACTAAACCTTTTGGGACTGGAGCGATAGTACAGTGGGTAGGGCATTTGCCTTCCATGCGGCCAACCCAGGTTCGATTCCTAGAATCCCATATGGTGTCCTGAGCACCGCCAGGAGTAATTCCGGAGTGCAGAGCCAGGAATAACCCCTGTGCGTCGCCGGGTGTGACACAAAAAGCACTGTCACTGTCCCCCCATTGTTCATCGATTTGCTCGAGCGGGCCCAGAAAACATCATGAGACTTGTTACTGTGTTTGGCATATCAAATACGTCACGGGTAGCTTGCCAGGCTTTGCCGTGTGGGCGAGATACTCTCAGTAGTTTGCCGGGCTCTCTGAAAGGAGCGGAGGAATCGAACTTGGGTCGGCCATGTTGGTTGGTGCAAGGCAAATGCCCTACCCGCTGTGCTATCGCTCCAGCCCAATACAAAAAGCAAAAAAACAAAAAGAAATAGTTAAACCTTTTGTAATAAACATGACAGCAAAGAAAACCTTAGGTTTCTTAGAATACAATATAATTGGAAGTTAGGCAGCCCACACTTAGGTGTTGTGGGAGTGCTTTGTGTGCTGCAGTTCCCCTCTGGTTTCAAGGTGGAGCTCATCTGTGGTAACTGCACTTTGGGTTTCTTGGTGTTATTTAGGCAGAAAGGGACTTGCTGGGGCAGGTGCCTATCCAGCAGTGTACAGGGGCCCTTGTTCCTTCCTCAGTGCTCAGGAATGACCCCTGGTGGTGATCAGAGAACCATATGTGATGCTAGGGATACGAACCTGGGTCCTGGCTAGTAAGTAGTAAGTAGTTACCTCCTGAGGTCATTAGATTTTCTTTTTCTAAATGAAAAGTTCTTTTAGAAGAGTGCATAAGATATGTCCTTGGCAGGTTAGTATACTTAGCAAGAGCAAGTACCACTAGAGTAAATGAAATTGAAAGCAGTGGAAGTCTCGGTAATGGGCTGAAAAGAACAAGTGTCTGCATGTGCTGGAGGCCCCAGCACCGGTTGGAGGGACCCCAACATCAAGCCAAGAAGAGCACCACCTCCAGTGTGGCCCATATACCTAAGGGAAAAAAAAAGGGAAATAATGAGAACAAAATTTATACCTATATCTATATCTATATCTTTATGTCCAAAATATCCTGCTGCAGTGAATGGGTAACTTGGCGAGTGGGATTCGATGCCGTGTAAATGTTATGTCAGACAATAGGAGCTGTCTTCAGATGATACGGATCATCACTGGCTTCTTCTTCTTCTTCTCTCTCTCTCTCTCTCTCTCTCTCTCTCTCTCTCTCTCGTGGTGGGGGACAGTTTTGGGTCTACCTGGCACAACTTGGGGGCTTCTTTTGACTCTGTGTTTTTGGGGGGAGTGTCATAAAGTTTAAACATACTGGAATGCCTACAGTTAAGAAAAACAACTTTTTATTCTTTCTTTATTTTTGCTTTTTGGGTCACACTCGGCGATGCACAGGACTTACTCCTGGCTCATGCACTCAGAAATTACTCCTGGAAGTGCTCAGGGGACCATAATGGGATGCTGGGAATCAAACCCAGGTCGGCCATGTGAAAGGAAAACGCCCTACTCACTGTGCTTTCACTCCAGTCCCAAAAAACAACTATTTTCCTGCCTTTGGGTCTTGCCTGATGACTTGAATCCACATTTTAGCTGTAGTAGATTACTTTTTATTTTTTCCTTTTGGGGCAATGCTCAGGTGTTACTCCTGACTCTGCACTCAGGGATTATTCCTGGCTATGCTTGGGAGGAATCTGTAGTGTGGTGGATCGAACCTGGGTTGGCCACATGCAAAGCAAGTGCCTTACTTGCTGTACTAGCTATAATAATTTTTATTTTGTAACTTTACTGCCCGCTCGAGCAAATCGACAATCAACGGGAGGGCCTTTACCTTTACCTTTACCTTTACCTTTAACTTTACTGCTTAAAAAGTTGTTATAGAAGGGGCTGTGGGGAGACGCTATAGTGAACATATGGTTGATCAGGTTCTTGTCTTTGTATTTGGATCATACCCCCGATGCTCAGGGGTCACTCCTGGCTCTGCACTCAGAATTACTTCTCAAAGTGCTCAGGGGACCATATGGGATGCTGGTGATAGAACTCAGGTGGGATGTGTGCAAGGAAAGGTCCCTACCTGCTGTACTATGGCTCCAGCTCCCTGAGCTGGGTTATACCAGGACTAATCCCATATATTCCCTTTAGCTTAGAGCCAGGAATAAGTCATGAACAGCAGTGTGGCCCAAAAACAACAACAACAAATTCCTGGTCACTGGAACTAGAGAGCTCAATGGACTGGAACATGCTTTGCGTGTAAGAGTCCCGTTTTAATCCCTGCAGGTCCCGGGAGAGCCTCAGAACTCCACCTGTGACTTCAAAACTGAAAAGGAGAGAAAATCGAAACATTCTAGTACACAGACTTTGTATATAGTTGACTTAAAAAACACATTTTGACATTTAAAAACTACCAGGATTAGACAGATACAATGTTGATAAGGAGTGTAGAGCCTGGAGTGACTCCTCACATATGGCCCCATAAGAATCATTTTTTAAATTTTGTTTTGTTTTTGTTGTTTTGTTTTGTGGTCACACCTGGTAATGCTCAGGGGTTATTCCTGTCTTTGCACTCAGGAATTACTTTTGGCAGTGCTCAGGGGCATATGGGATGCCAGTACACCCCCTTTTCTTTTTCTTTTCTTAGACTAGTATCTTTTTTAGAAGTGAAGATAATCAAATTGCTTGAGTACTTTAAACATACTGGTATTCTTTTTGTTTATTTTGGGGCCACATCCAGCTGTGCTCAGGGATTACTCTTGGCAGGCTTTGGTGACCTTTGGGGTACCTGGACTTGAACTCGAGTATGTTGCATGCAAGGCAAACATCCTACCTATTGTGCTATCACTCTGCCACCTACCCTTAAACATATTGATATGACTGATCCTTCTTCTTCTTCTTCTTATTATTATTATTATTTGCTTTCTGGGTCACACCTGACAATGCACAGAGGTAACTCCTTGCTTTGCACTCAGAAATTACTCCGGCGGTGCTCCGGGGATCATATGGGATGCTGGGAATCGAACCTGCGTCACCCGTGTGCAAGGCAAATGCCCTACCCACTGTACTACCGCTCCATCCCTCTGATCCTTTTTATTTCTAATGCTTTTAACGTATTTAACTTCGATAACTTGAATGTAAAGCACTTAAGTAGCATTTTGGCACCTATATTTGGTCTATGTGAGAATTTGTGTTTGTTTATATTATAGAAGAAATTTTGGACTCCATTAGAGCCAAAAAGGGAGAGATTGATATTGTCAAGAGCCCGGAAGAAACGGAAAAGGACAAGAGTGAGGCTGAGAGCAACTCCAGAGATGCTGAGAAAAGCAGGGAGGAGTATGAAGACCATTCCCTGGAGAAAGACAGTGACGACAGACCACCTGCTGACGATTCCGAGCAAGGAAAATCTGAGGGTAAAAACATTAGTGATTCAAAAGAAATATTTCATCAGTGTTATTTATGAAATCTCCAGTTTTACTTGCAAATGCATATTATTATACAATCACTAGTTTTACATTTCCCAAAGAAATTAGGATGCATTTATATCACCATGGGAATAAGCTTTATGTATTGGTGCTTTTGCTATGTTACTCCATGTCTCTATCTTTTTCAAGTGCCATTTTTCTACGAGGTGTATTGGTGCAAAAATCGCTATTTTTATGCCAGACTATATACTTTTGTATGTGATAAAATATGTTCAGTTTTATATGGATTACATATTCATTCTTAATGTATTTTTAAAGACTCTTCAGATGAGTGGTTTTCAACCTTTTCACACCTGCAGGCTGGCGTTACCCGGCGTACCGCTTTGCAAATTGATGGGTTTCAAACCATCTAATTGCTTTGAGATGGAGGCCAAATAGACGCAGGTTTTTTTTGGTGGTCATTCATTTTTGATGGATTGTGGCCATGTGTCCAAGCGCAATTGAAAAAAGCTATCTTTAAAGTTTTGTTGTGCATTTCACTGTAGAGCCCACAGAAGTTGGGGATAAAGGTAACTCTGTGGCAGCAAATCTTGGCGACACCACAACCAATGCTTCTTCCGAAGAGACTAGTCCCTCCGAAGGGAGGAGTCCCGTGGGGTGTCACTCAGAACCCCCTGATAGCAGCAACATGGCAAAGAAGAAGGTGGCATCCGAGCTCCCCCAGGATGTGCCAGGTACAGAGGGCCATGTACCCGTGCCTCTGTAATGGGGGGAATCCATTCCTTTGGTAGTCAAAGCTGAACGTCACCTTGAGTTTCCAAGTATGTGTTCATTCGTGCTGCTTGTTTACGTAAGTGCCATCCTTGATTGCTAAATTGTCACCTAACATTAGGAGTCTGACAAATGTTCTTGCAGTTAGTGCTTGAAACTCATCATAATCTCCATGCTTTTTAAAGCTCATTTAGCTCTTTTTATCTAATAGACTTACGTGTATATTTTATCACTAGATCATAGTGGCAAATATTGGTTAGTACTTACACACTAATGGCTTGGTGTTGATTAATTTGACCATTCCAGTTCTGTATGTACTAACAAGTTAATTTTATGTTTGCATGTGCTCATGTATTTCTTTTAACAACATTTCAAATCATGATGTTATGCTAGAAAACCACTGTCACAAAATTTTTTGAGCAAGCTATATTTTGATGTGTAAGATAACCAGTATATTTTAAGCTTTAAAATTATGATTGAAGTGAGTTACATAACACTAAGAATATTATTTTGTCTTTTGCCTTTTTCTCTCTCTTTTTTCTTTTTATTTATTTTGTTGTTTTGCTTTTTAGACTATACATGGTGGTGTTCAGGGCTTACTCCTGACTCTGTGCTCAAGAATCACTCCTGGTGGGGCTGGGGCACCATATGGGGTGCCAGAGATTGAACTGGGTCGGCTGCATGCAAAGGCCAGCGCCTTGCCCATTGTACTGACTCTCTGATCCCTCTTTGCCCTTATAAAAATGAAAGATAATTTTTGTTATAGGAGGCATATATATGTTTCAGCAAGTTAGAAGATTTAGATAGGAGAATACAGAAACAAAATACTGGTAATTCCACCAAGAATCGAGTTAAATTTAGTAGTTGGGTAGAAATCTGAATGATTTGTTTCTGTGCCTTTTCTAAATAGCATGGGTTTTCGGACTTTCCACACTGTCATTGCTACATTCTATACCAGGATGTTTTGGGAAGTGGGCAGGATAAATAGACTTGATTCTATATGTGTTTAGCCATTGAGTCTTTCAAGACCCCAGTGTTCCTGATTTGTAACATGAAGGATTTTGAGCAGGAGTTTTAGTGGGACCGCTTTGACTTGAGTTTATATCAACAGTAAGCTGCTGCTGCTGTGGCAGGACATTAAGACTGTGTGTACCATTGTAAGGGAACTGGGTCAGAGTGATAGTATAGCTGGTAGGGCGTTTGCCTTGCATGTGGCCAACTTGGGTTCAGTTCTTCACATCCCTTATTGTTCCCCGAGTACCTCCAGGGGTAATTCCTGAGTGCAGAGTCAGGAGTAACTCCTGAGCATCACCAGGTGTTACTAAAAAAAAAAAAATCACATTGTCACATTGGGCATTGGGTATGGAGAGATAGCACAGAGGGAAGGGTGTTTGCCTGTTTGCCTTGTATGCGGCCAACCCAGGTTCAATTCCCGGCATTCCATATGGTCCTCTGAGCACCGCCAGGAGTAATTCGTGAGTGCAGAGCCAGGAGTAACCCCTGCGCATCGCCGGGTGTGACCCAAAAAGGAAAAAAAAAAAGATCACATGGAAACAGCGCCGAATCCACTGGATATTACTCTAATAATGGACTCTAGTCACGAAGGTGAAAGAAAGTTGGGAAACCATAGTACCTGGTGAAATAGTTAAAGGAATTATTTTCTAGCTTAGAAATGAGTAGACCTGACCTCGGGAAGAATCTAAAGTAGTACTAATAGAATTGTCTCAAATACTTGGAAAGGGTGGAGAAGTTGGGATGACAGGAATTAGACATGTATCATGAAGTTGAGGGCATTGCCACGGTAAGCAGGAGCAAAGAGTAGTACTGTTAGCATTTTAAACTAGTCTAGTTCGCCAGTCCCTTCAGTTTAGAGGATGTGGTCAATATATACCAGATGCGGAGAGTCCTTTATTGGACATGAGAAACTAGAGATCAAGAATTCAGTTCTATAGTTCTCCAGTTAGCACCCTAAGATCGCATCCAGGATGTGAGGGAGATCTGGCTGAGACATCTGTCACCCTGTTGATTCCCATCCAGTTAAAATACTGTATTATTCTTGGACCAGGACCAGATTAGAGTCAGGAGGCCACTTGCCTTGCAGCCAACCTGGGTTTGATCTCCAGCACCTCCTTAGTCCCAACTGGAGTGATCCCTGAGTGCAGAGTCAGGAGAAAAACCTGAGCACTGCGAATGTGTAACCAAAAAGTCAGAACTCAAAATAATATACTGCATTATTCTGACTTTCATGTATTTGTGGTAAAAAGTTTAAAAGTAGATTATTAATCAAAAATTAATGTGAAAAATATTCTAGTATTGTTTGAATCATGGTTACACTTTCAGTATATACTTAGAATATTGTCTTTTAAAAAATTTCTTTATGTATTTTTTGGTTTTTGACTCATACCCAACAAATTTCAGGGATTACTCCTGACTCTGTGCACAGGAATCATTCCTGGCAGTGGATGCTGGGGCTTGAACCTGGCAGAGATGCTGGACTATCGCTCTAGCTCCTGTTCTTTGTCTTTTAGATTGTTTGTTATTTAATGTAAACCAGGGTCAAACCAGTTAGAACTGGTTAGTGGTTTAGATTGTGTGTTTTAGCACTGAGTGTGTGTGTGTGTGTGTGTATGTGTATATATATATATTATATATATATACACATATATCGTATATATGTATATATATACATCGAGCAAATCGATGAAAAAAAAATATATATATTCTTCATCGATTTGCTCGATCAGGCCCAGTAACATTGTGAGACTTGTTATTGTGTTTGGCATATCGAATATGTCACAGGTAGCTTTGCTGTGCGGGCAAGATACTCCCGGTAGCTTGCCGGGCTCTCCGAGAGGGGCGGAGGAATTGAACTCGGGTCCGCCGTGTTGGCTGCGTGCAAGGCAAACGCCCTACCCGCTGCGCTATGTATGTATATGTGTATATATATGTATATGTATATGTATATTTTTCCCCCTTAATGGAGCAAATCGATGAACAACAGGAGGACAGTGCTACAGTGCTACTGGAGCGGGAGTGATAGTACAGAGGGAGGGTGCTTGCCTTGGATGTAGCCAGCCCAGGTTTGATCTCCAGCACCCTGCTGGCTGTATTATAATTCTGTGCCTAAAAATCAGCAAAAGATACTGTCATATTAGAAAGTGTTTGATACGGAAAGAACTTTTTGATATAGTATCTTCAGAGTAAACCACCTGCGCGCTGACGTTAGATAAACAGCCCAAAACTTGGTGCACATCCCCCCTCTCCGAGGCTCCCCTTGTGTCCACATTGGTGCTTGGGACTGTAAGATGGGCTTTCTGATGTCTTTAAAAACTGATATTTTATGTTTCTATCTGGTGGTACTTGGGCCCCCAAGGTCTCTCCTAGGTAAGGCATGTGTTCTTTCACTTGAGTCACATCCCTGGATGCCCCCATGTCTGATTTTGCTTTGTTTGGGAGCCATATCCAGAGTTGTTGAGAGCTTACTCCAGCATACGCTCAGGTAGCGTGCCTGGTGGGACTTAAGAGGGCACCATGTGGGTGCCAGAAATCACACTTGTGTCATGTAGAGGCAAGTGCCCTACTCAATGTTTGTCTGTTTATTTTAAACTTCAGTGTATCAGTCATCAAGATGTTGATTGTTGATTGTAGCTTTGGAGTGTGTGTGTGTGTGTGTGTGTGTGTGTGTGTGTGTGTGTGTGTGTCGGGGGGTGAGTCACCCATTTTCTTCTGAAGTACATAATGGATTTGGCCATGTTCAGTGCTCATATCCCTTTTCTGGTTTGGGTTCATTATGAATACTGCCGCTATGAATCTTCTTTCGTAGAGTTTTGTGCACATGTACGTATATTTTTATTTTTATTTTATTTTTTTTAATTTTGACAGTATTTATTTATTTAAATTTATTTATTTATTTATTGAATCACCATGGGAAAGGTTACAAAGCTTTCAGGTTTAGGTCTCAGTCATGCAAATATCAAGCACATTTCCCTTTACCAAAACTTATTTTTTACCATGAAGAACCCCAATAAAACCCCACCCCCCACCCCTCCCAGTCCCTGTGGGGCAGATGAATTCTAGTTAACACTCTATCTGCTTTGATTAGATTCATTGTTTCAATAAAAGATTCACCACTATTATTTAGAGTTTACCACCCCCCCCCCCCCCCAAATCGGACATGCTGAAAAAGCATTGTGAAGTGATTTGCTTTCTACAGCTGGGTTCAAGAATTATATGTTGGTTTTGGATTTCTGCTATTTTACTTATTGACCCTGGAAGTATTTATACTGAAAGTCAGATAGTTAAGAAATTGGTTTCTGTGCTCTGGAGTCGTGGCCGTGCTGGAGAGCCGCTAGTGGGGGGCAACTGGTGGTCTCGGTAGGGCGTGAAGGGCGGACCGAAACGCCCCCCTTCCCATGAGGTTTTAGTCGCCCCCAGTCCCCCGGCTCATACCTGCTGTCCACAAGGCTCCCATGCGGCCGCCATCTTTCTTTCCAGAGAGGAGAAGGCGAGTGGGACAACACCCTTTCCCCTGTACGTATATTTTTAAAGGTGAAAACTCAGGTGTAGCATCTTGGGGCCCTTCGGGGTGCACGTCTTCAGTAGATCCGACTGGATAGTGGGGCGGGGTAGCACAGCAGGTGAGGTATTTCCTTGTACTTGCTGACTAGTTTTCCAGAGGTTTTTGGGAAGTCCCACACTGTTGCCACCATTTGGCATTATCTGTGCTTTTGTGCATTGTTTCCCTGGTGACTGAGGGTAAGAAGCACCTTTTCATCGTGGGTGGTATGTGAATGTGTCTATAATGTGTGTTTGGATAGGTCAGTTCGATTTCCATGGAGTGGACGGTCTTCTTTTTTTTGTTTGTCTGTTTCATGGAGGAGGGAAATCCATTTCCCCTCCATCTTGAAGCACTACATTGATTTTTCAAACGATAACATAATACATTTTATTGGAATAAATAGTA